GAATTCCATGGAGAAGATATGGTGGGATCTCTCTCTCATCTACCAATACCCCACTCAGTCTACCAAATAGAGAAACACACACACGAATCTGTGAGACTTTGTAGGTGCCCACTAATGTTGACATCCTTATGGAGATGTCCGTCAGCTGCATCAAGAAGAGCCAAAGGAAATAGTCCTTCCTTCCCCAGCTGTAATTGGGGACGTTGGTTTCTCCAGGAGGGAGCATGCCCAGCAAGGCTTCTGAAGTGCCAAGTGTGTTCTGATTGTTGTCGTTGAGGTTGTAGCCAAGTGTGAGATTGTGCAGGAGCTGGGGACTCTTGTTGACCAGTTGAATGGCAAAAATACACCACGGCATATTAAAGTCAGCAATGGAGAAGCTCCTTTACAAAAATCTGTTCATGTTATTATTGTCATCATGAATAGAAACAAGAAAATACTTTTTTGTTTTCAATTTGGTGACTGAGTCTCAAGCCAATACTGGTCCAAAACCAGAGGCAAATGAGAGTTACCCATCACCTTGAAATTTTAAGGAGTGTTGAAAAGGTGGGATGGAGATAAGAGTCACAAACAGACCATCATTTGTCGAAGTACTAATTTTTATCTGGCTATTAAAGGGGATTCAAAATAATTCAATCATTAAAATAGAACTATCATAAAAGGAAGAGGATTTTTAATATGAGAAACAGTTACCAATTCTACAAAAAACCATATTTGTTTCTATAAGGATCAGGAATTGCGTATCAAGCAGCGGTTATAAAAATGTGGAACTGGGCTAGGCTGGGGCCACCACAACCGTTTCAATCACTACTTTAAACAAAAGTTAGCATTCAAGTGACGAACTCAAGTTTGGGTGGAAGGAGGAAAATAATCTGGAGTTGTTACAGTTTTTATTCCGCTTCATCTTTGGATTTTAGCTACTTCCACAAAATAAGTTTGAAAGGGAGAAGCTTTGGAAATCCAGACGATTCAGGAAATTAGACAGGTCCTATAATATAGGAGTCAGTGAAATAAAAAGAAAAATAGGAAAGTATTAGGACTGCAAACAGAGGAAATGTGTCAGAATCCAATTATATTTCATCTCTAGTGATCAACTATGGAAAACCCCATTTCTGCCCTCTCTGGATTCAGTCATACTACGAAGGGGAAGGGGGATGAGCAAAGGGGTTTTAAGGCTCTCACTTCCTTCCTTACAACTTCAAAGGGACTGAATGTGGATCTCACCAAGATTGACCATAACAATAGGGCCCATCACCTTTCATGTACTCCTCTCTGAAGTCTCCCTTTTGCCAGCCGTGAGGAAAAGGGGGTGGAAATGTAATGCCTGGGATTGTCGCTGGAAGGACAGTGGGGTGGGGGGGCTGCTTGGGAACACTTAAAACCTTGAACCGTAGGGCTTGGGCCCCAGGTCCTGTCTAGAACGCCTGCAACCATCTTCTCTTAATAAAGATGCCTGTTGGAAGAAATATTCCAAGAGTTCTGTCTTCTTAAGATGCAAAGTGGGGTGGGTCCTTACATTAGACAGGACTTGCAGAATTAGTCCACCTGGAAGGGAGAACCTTGCCGGGGGACTTTGCAAAAGTTACCATGTCAGACGACGGAGCAGGGAAGGGAGAAAACTCCCCGGGAAGGGAGCCGCTGCCCCGACTGAAACCCTGCCAGATGTCGGGATCTGAGAGGTCAGATTCCTCAGGAGAAGAGGTGGTGGAGACACGGGACCACCAACCTCGGTGGTCAATGGGCGTTGGAAAGACAGGCGAGTGGGAAAAGTTTGGGAAAAGTCCCAAACGGTTCCCTATTTTACTTACCTTCCTTCTGTCCTTCCATCTTTGGGGCCTGCCATTCTGTTGCGAGAGGGGGGAGCCCAGCATTATTGGCATGTTTGTATTTGCTTGCCAGTTCTTTTTCCTTTTCCTGATTGCCATGGGGAGGGTTATAGTAGCTCTCCAAAGACGGGCGCGACGAGCCGGAGGTCAGCGAAGCCAGGAAGTCGCGTGCCAAAAGCAATGGCTGATCGCCCCGAGACGCCAGCTGATTGGATGGAATTCAAATCCCCGCGTGGCTTTGGTGGGAGGGGTTTTACGGCTTGAGTGACTAAACAGTGTTAATGAACTTTTACCTCAGACCTCGCCTTGATTCCCCCACTGTTACTGATCCCCAAATAAAAGACTCCTGTTTGAAGCAGTGATTGCCTCAAGAGTTTGAATTCTTGGGGGAACAGCTGAAGTGGGTCATTACAGGAAGGGAAACTCCAGCACAGGGAATGACTTACGAAGGAAACTGACAAAAAGGAGCTTGGTCAAAGTCATTGTTGTATGCAATATTCTTGTTAAACTGAGAATTGCACTGATGGGATGATCTCCTGGCCTGGAATAGCTCCCCTCCAGCCTCTCCCATCTCGGATGACCCAGCAGAAGCTCCGGGCATTTTGGAGGCCGTTGCCTGCAGGGAAGGAGATCTCCCTGGACCAGATTCCCTCCCTCTGACAGCCGACACTCTTTTCCTTTGCACCGAGAGCACTTAGAGGCCTCCGGCAGCAATCCCATCTCTGCCAACAATTGTGGCCAGTACATATATATATATGAACCCCCAAAGACCAGATTGACCCAGATTGACTCCATACTCACAAAGCACTAGAAACTTGAAACTTGAAATTGCATTGCAATGATAGCCTGCCATCCCGTGGCCGTTTTGAATATTGCAGGTGGAGGCCAGTGATTGAAAAATTAATATAAATAAAAGCAATCGGGGAACAGATCGGGGTAAATCCTGCCTGGGGTTGGGCTTTGAACCTGCGGGTGCGACTAGAGGTGAAAATGAGGTGCAAAAGTCCTTCAAATTAAATGAAAATCGTTGCTTTAAAAGCCTGTGGGAAATTGCATCGCAATTATAGCCTGCCACCTCCTGGCCTTTTTGAATATGGCAGGTGGTGTAAAGAAATCTCCAGATATAATTTTTAAAATAACTCTACGTATAGTATGGCTATTTAGGAGAGATGCTGCATCATGTTCTTTCCTGAGGATCCGTCAAGCCCTTGTGTATGTTTAGACCTTATAAACCTAAGAGATGTAGGTAGATGTAAACCTAAGAGGTAATCAAGGAGAGAAGCAACCTGGAATTAAGGAGAAACTTCCTAACAGTGAGGACAATTAACCAGTGGAACAGCTTGCCACCAGAAATTGTGGGTGCTCCATCACTGGAGGCTTTTAAGAAAAGACTGGACATCCACCTGTCTGAAATGGTAAAGGGTCTCATGCTTGAGCAGGGGGCTGGACTAGAAGACCTCCAAGGTCCCTTCCAACTCTGTCTTTCAGTACTCTGTAAAAATTCAGAAGAGAGGAGATCTAGGGAAAGATCCAGTATTTGGGGGGCTGTCACAAAGAAGAGGGGGTCAACTTATTTTCCAAAGCACCAGAAGGCAGGACAACAAGCAACGGATGGAAACTCATCAAGGAGAGAAGCAATTTAGAATTATGGAGAAACTTCCTAACAGTGAGGACAATTAACCAGTGGACAATTAACCAGCCTGCCACTAGAAGTGGTGGGTGCTCCATCACTGGAGGTTTTTAAGAAGAGACTGGACAGCCATTTGTCTGAAATAGTATAGGACAGTGATGGCGAACCTTTTAGAGACCGAGTGCCCCAAAACTGCCCTGCCCCCCGGCCGCCTGCAGGGCCACTCACCGCCTCCACGGCCCGCTGCAGATCGCCCAGGCAGCCCAGCAGCGCCATGGTGGCCACGCCCTCTGCACTCCACGCATCATCTGTGTGCGACGGGGCCTGAGGGCAGAGGGATGCTGGTGAGGAGGGGGCTGCGGGGGGAAGCGGGAAGGGGCAATAGCACATGTGCCCACAAAGAGGGCTCTGAGTTCCGCCTCTGGCACATGTGCCATAGGTTCATCACCACTGGTATAGGGTCTTCTGCTCAAGCAGGGGGCTGGACTAGAAGACCTCCAAGGTCCCTTTCAGCTCTACTGATTGGTTGATTGATTTTACGGCCGTGTTTACAGCAAGGGCGAATCAGTCCGGCCTTTGACTCCATCAGGCGGGCTAAAGACGAGAGGCTGAGTGTTGATTTTTCGCTCTCCGTCTTGCTTGTGTGGCCAGGTAGATGAAACGCCCTGCTCTTTTCTTGGAAAGAGAAAACCCCAGCATCTGGAGGAGGGCCCTGCCAGGGTTCCTTGGCGTGGAGGAGGCGCTAAGCGGTGGGAAATGCAGCATGTCTGAATTTACAGGTAGTTCCTCGGCTTACCACCTCGGTGGAGCCCAAAATTTCTGTTGCTAAACGAGACAGTTGATAAGCGAGTTTTGCCCCATTTATACAACCTTTCTTGCCAGCGTTGTTAAGTGAATCACTGCTGTTGCTGACTTAGCAACCCCGTTGTTAAGTGAATCTGCCTTCCCCATTGACTTTGCTGGTCCGAAGGGCGCAAAATGGGATCACGTGACCCTGGGACGCTGCGACCGTCATAAATAGGAACCAGCTGCCAAGCGTCCGAATTTTGATCACGTGACCTTTGGGGATACTGCAGTGTGGGAAATGGCAAAAATCAACGTTTTCAGTGCCTTTGTGACTTCGAATGGTCATTAAATGAACTGTGTGTACGTTGAGGACTATCTGTATTATCTAATTTAGCCGTTGGGGGCATGTCTCTCTCTCTTTCTCTTTCTCTCTCTTTCTTTCTCTCTCTCTTTCTCTCCCTCTCCCTCCCTCTCTCTTTCTTTCTCTCTCCCCATCTTTCTCTCTCCCCCCTCCCTCTCTCTCTCTCCCCCTCTCTCTCCCTCTCTTTCCCCTCCAACTTTTGACCTTTCTCTCAATCGCAACCACAGCTGTGACTTTTTTTTGAAACTGAAACTGAATTTATTGATGCATTTGCCAAATGGAGAATGCAGGAACTTTTTTCTTCCAACCACTGAAAAAAAAAAGGGGAAGGAGCGCCTCCATCTTGTTTTGCTTTTATAAGGCAATCTTTGCCAATTCCGAGGCCTTGTTTTGCAGCCAGAGTTTCCGGGGGGGCAGGCTGCTCCGTGGGCAAACGCAGGGCTAAGGTTCCACCATCACCGTGCTGGATGTCACCCGGGCGCCGTACCAGCCCTTCCAGAACAACGTATCCTGACCGCCGTGTTCGAAATGGACGAATCGCACGCCGGCACCGTACTCGGCGAAGGTGTGAGTGATCTTAAGTAAAGGAGAGAAAGATAAAACTCGGATGAAAGAGAATCAGAGAATCAAATCGAATCTGTTTACTATTATACCACACTATAAAAAAGACGCTGAGACTCTAGAAAGAGTGCAGAGAAGAGCAACAAAGATGATCAGGGGACTGGAGGCTGAAACATCAGGAACGGTTGCTGGAATTGGGTATGTATGTCTAGTTTAATGAAGAGAAGGACCAAGGGAGACACGATAGGAGTCTTCCAATATTTGAGGGGGGTCTCACAGAGAGGAGGGGATCATCCTATTTTCCATCTGAAGCACCTGAAGGCCAGACAAGGAACAGTGGATGGAAACTAAACAAGGAGAGATTCAACCTGGAAATAAGAAGAATTTTTCTGACGGTGGGAACAATCCACTGATGGGACAGTTTTCCTTCAGAAGTTGTGGGAGTTTCATCACTGGAGGCTTTCAGGAAGAGACTGGACTGCCATGTCTCAGAAATGGTGTAGGGTCTCCTGCTTGGGCGGGGGGTTGGACTAGATGACCTACAAGGTCCCTTCCAACTCTGTTATTCTGATGCCTATTACAGCCATATGGCCAGAAAATTATCCAGTCATAAGCTACTTATATACAGAGATATACAAAAAATGCATTGAACATGATCTAATGATAAGAACACATACAGTAAAATTAATTTTAAAATCTAAAAAAGATAGATGTATCCAAAGAAAAAAGATGGTACAGCATCCTTGATTTATAGACATTTGTTTAGCAACCACTTCATCGATATTGTAGCCAAAAGGCCGGCCCTATTAGCTATTAACCAACAAAATAAAATGCCTTATTACTAGTTAATACAGTCCTATTAAAGTTAGGGTGTATTCCACTGACATGTAATAATCAATGGCATCTGCAGTTTTTGGAATCTCCTATAAGTTAGGCTATACATTATTAAGCTATTAAACAGATTTTACTGCACAGAGGGTACAGAAACCCATTCCTTCTTACTGACTGTGGGAAGTCAGCCCCCCAGAGAAGGAAATATTAAAAGGGCAGGAAAATATATTTTCTCAAAGGATCTTGAAGAGGCAGGAAAGCATGCCCAGGTTTCTTAATAGCCCCAAGTCTGCCTCCCCCAAGCAGAAGCCAGCTCTGTACAAATGCAGATGTAAACCATCAGGAAAGTTGGAGCTAGGAGATTAGGAAGACAAAGACCTAAAATCTGCATACCCCACCTGAGACAGGACATGGTAGGATTAACTCACAAAGGCCAAAGGCACAACCAAACTCAGGTCAGAATACATGACACAGGAAATAGCCTCAGAACAGGAACAGGAAGTAACCCCAAACAAAAGGCTTCAGAGGGTATAAAAACCCACTCCCTACATGTGCTCAGCCCTTTTTTTCTCTCCTCTTTGCTGCCAGAACCATCTTCCTGTCTGGCTCTCCTCTCCAATAAACTACAACCTTCTTCCCAAAGCAGTTGCCATGTTTATTCCCAGTTTGGATGAAGACTTTTCTTCCAACATGACAAAAGCAGAAAAGAATTGTAAGGTTTATCAAACAGGTCCAAATGTAAATTTTGATAGAATTCGAAACGATGTCTTTAGACCCAGCTACCTCTATAAAATCACAACACGCAGAATTTAAAAATAACATTTTCAAATATGTTTATCTGATTTATGTTTCCGAGGAATCCCCAGTGCCGCTGCGCAGAATGTACCACCTGCGCTATAAGAGCAGAGAATTCAAAAGGCCAGCCCCGTTTTATTTTAATTTTTTTGACCTTTTTTTCCCCCTTTGCAAAATGGAGCCCCGTTTCCTCCGCCCAGGGGATGGGGGAGCAGCGTCCCACCCCCTAGTTTGGGAACAGGATGTCAACCTCCTGCTCAAGCACCCAAATAAAGTCTGGATAAATGAAAGAGACGGAAAGCGAGGCCATTTCTTTCTCTTCCTCCTTCGCTTCTTGGGGGGGGTCTCCTCCCTGGAACGAACCTCAGCCCACTCGCCCTCGTTGTCCTGGGGGACCGCGATGGTTTCGCTTTCGAATTCGGCCACCACGTCTTCGCTAGCGGAGAGCAGCTTCACCTTCAAGTTGTAGAGACAGCCGGCATCACAGCGAGAGGCATACCTGGAGGAAGAAGAGGAGCGGGAAGCAAGTGGTGACCCAGGGCAGAACGGGTGGGGGACCCTCGGGGACCCCTGCCACTCACCAGTCCTTCACTACAATTTTGGGCTGGGTGGTGTCCATCAGCTCCTCCCAGTAGCCTTCAGCTTGCAAGTCAATCACTTGGGATTTGCTGCACCAGCTGAGGAGCAAAAGAATAGATAAGCTTTGTTGTCATTTTTTTACTGTGGGCACCCTGGCACACGTTAAAAATGAAATTCTGTTGCCTGCTCTCAAAAGTGTACACATACATCACACACATATAGGCATGCTTTATACATACATACATACATACATACATACATACATGCATACATATATATATTTGTTTTCTGAGGTTTTCGCGGGTGTTTGTATGTAGGTCTTTGGTTATTCGGGTTTTCTATCGTGTAAAATTGGAAGTGTCTTGGCGACGTTTTGATGAAGTCCCATTCGTCATCTTCAGGCTGGTGTTTTCGGCTTCGTGCTTCTAGGAGTAATGTGTGATCGCAGCTAGAAGCACAAAGCCGAAAACACCAGCCTGAAGATGACGAATGGGACTTCGTCAAAACGTCGCCAAGACACTTCCAATTTTATGCGGGAGAAAACCCGAATAACCAAAGACCTACATATATATATATATATATACCTAGACCCTTGCATATATAAATACATATAAATATAAATCACTGTCCATCTTGAATACATAACAAAAAGAGGAAGCTGGAGAGATCACAAGGTTGATCCTGTATGGAACAAAACTGGGACTGAATCTGGATGTTCTGCTTCGGATACCATGGAGCCTCCTCCCCTCCCCAGAAAGTAACAAGGAAAACAGGTTGTGAAGAGGAGGTGTCATGTCCCAGACAATCTTGCAGACCCTGCTCAAGCATCGCTTATATGCCACGTCCTGGATGGGAGGGAGGGAACTGCCAATGATCTTTTCTGCCATCCTCACCACTCTCTGCACCGCCTTCCTGTCTGAAGCAGGGATGCTTCCAAACCAGACTGTAATGCAATATGACAGGATGCTCTCGATTGTAGAAAGTGGTGAGGACAGGGGAAGGAAGATGTGCTTTGCTGCTGCTTCCAGGCCTGACGTTCTTCTTTTGACCAGAAGGACTAGAAACTTGATTTTTTTTTTTACAAAAAAAAAATGAAAGCAGACTGCTTTGACTCCCCTTGGGTCCCGGAGCTCTTGGGACATTGCAGCATGCACTCGCACCCGCCTCCAGAGCTGTCCAGTCGACTGTAAAATGGACTCACTCAAAAGAGGACACGAAATAGGTCTGGACTTCATCCCTGGGGAAATCCTTCCCGAAATCGCCCGGCAGCTCTTCCACTTTCCAGCCGTCGCCCCCATTTTGCACATCCTCCCAATGCTGGAGACCCTCTAGGACCGAGCAGAAAAGCCTGAAATGACACTCACTCTGCCCCAAATATCCCCCCCACCCACCCAGCAGGGTAGGGGAAGGAATTCTCCCGCTTGGAGGGAAAGGACCCTCCTGATGCCCTTTGAGGGTCCCCCTCTGTAGCCCAGGGACCCCCGAGAGAGCCTGGAAAAGGGGCCAAGGTGGAGGGGGCTGCCCAGATCTGGGCCAGGGGCTGCCCCCTCCCCTCGCAAGGCTGGGGTATCCGTTTACCTTCGCCGTTGGGGTTCTTGATCAAATTCCGCTTCTTCTTATTGAGAAAGTAGAGAGATTGCCAGCTCTCTGTGCCTTCCACGTCGGCGTCGTTGCCCGCAAAGCCCTCCGCCTGGCATTTCAGCAGCCAGAGGGCCCCCCCGTCCACCAGCGCCTTCCACTGGGAGCAAACCAGGCGGCACACCAGCACCAGGTCGAGGGCGGGCAGCCCGGCCAGGATCCGCACCAGGAGGGGCTCCGGAAGGGCATCCTTGAGGGAGGGGCAAAGGGAGGGAGTTGGCCCACAGCTCAGACTTGCTCCTCAGTTTGGCTAAATTGAGGCTGACCCCTGGCATCCGTAATAATAATAATAATAATAATAATAATAATAATAATAATAATAATAATAATAATAATAATAATAATAATAATAGTCGTAGTAGTAGTAGTAGTAATAGTAATAATAATAATAATATTAATAATAATAACACCATTGGCATTGACAAATTCGCTATTAGTCAATTGCAAAAGGCAGCCTTACTAGGAACTGCTTTCATCCTGCGACGATATCTGTAATACCATCAAACATCCACATCTGCCTATCCCAGGTCCTTGGAAAGGACTCGATAGATAGACAAAAATGCCAAATGCACTCTGAACATCTGGCTGACTGTGCGATGATCCATAATAATAATAATAATAATAATAATAATAATAATAATAATAATAATAATAATAATAATAATAATAAAAGTTGGAAGGGACCTTGGAGGTCATCTAGTCCAACCCCCTGCTCAGGCAGGAAACCCTATATCATTTCGGACAAATGGCTGCCCAGTCTCTTCTTAAAAACTTCCAGTGTTGGAGCATCCACCGCTTCTGGAGGCAGGTTGTTCCATTGGTTAATTGTTTAACTGTCAGGAAGTTTCTCCTTAGTTCCAGGTTGCTTCTCTCCTTGATTAGTTTCTCCATCCGTTGCTTCTTGTCCTGCCTTCAGGGGCTTTGGAGAATAGCTTGACTCCCTCTTCTTTGGGGCAGCCCCTGAGATATTGGAATACTGCTATCATGTCCCCCCTTGTCCTTCTGTTCATTAAACTAGACAGACCCAATTCCAGCAACTGTTCCTTATATGTTTTAGCCTCCAGTCCCCTAATCATCTTTGTTGCTCTTCTCTGTACTCTTTCTAGAGTCTCAACATCTTTTTTACATCGTGGTGACCAACACTGGATGCCGTATTCCAAGTGTGGCCTTACCAAGGCCTTGTAAAGTGGTATTAACACTTCTTGTGATCTCGATTCTATCCCTCTGTTCATGCAGCCTAGATCCGTGTTGGCTTTTTTGGCAGCTGCAGCACACTTGCTACGGGGTCATTTCAGACTCTGCTGAGCTGGTTCCCCCCCCCCCGGTTGCCACTCGGAAAGCAATAAAGGGAGAGCAGAATCTGCCTTCAGAGGGAACTTTCCGGCCAATCTAGTTGCTGACCAGGGATTTTGTTCGGAGATGGAGCCTACCAGGGAAGTTTTGGCAGGGCTGCCAAGGGGATGAGTCAGTCTTTCTTGCTGGATTCTCTTTTCCAAACCTGCAGCAAGAAGGCGCAAGGAGTTGTGTCCCTTTTTAGATGCCTTTGGGGCGTCCCCTGCCAGCATTCACCCTTTCATCACTGGAAGCTTTCAAGAAGAGACTGGACTGCCATCTCTCAGAAATGGTATAAGGTCTCTTGCTTGAGCAGGGGGTTGGACTAGATGACCCACAAGGTCCCTTCCAGCTCCATTCTATTCTACTGCAACCAGTTTTGGTCACCACATTGTAAAAAAGATGTTGAGACTCTAGAAAAATGGAAAGAGAAGAGCAACCAAGATGATCAGGGGACTGGAGGCTAAAACATAGGAAGAACGGCTGCAGGAACTAGGCATGGCTAGTCCAGTGAGGAGAAGGACCAGGGCAGACAGGACAGCAGCCTTCCAATATTTGAGGGGGGTCTCACAGAGAGGAGGGGGTCAACCTACTTTCCAAAGCACCCGAAGGCCAGACAAGGAATAATGGATGGAAACGGATCTAGGAGAGATTCAGCCTAGAAATAAGGAGAAATTTTCTGAAGGTGGGAACAATCAACCAATGGGACAGAAGTTGCCTCCAGATGTTGTGGGGGCTTCATCACTGGAAGCTTTCAAGAAGAGACTGAACTGCCCTCTGTCAGAAATGGTGTCGGGTCTCCTGCTTGGGCAGGGGGTTGGACTAGGTGACCTCCAAGGTCCCTTCCAACATTCTAATTCTAATTCTAATTCATTATTCTCTGACCCAATCCCTCCCCCCCCGGGGGGGAATTAAGGGCTTTTAGGGTTTGGGGGGGGCTCAAAAAGAGGAGGAGGTAGGGGATCCCCAGCACTTACCATTGGGGGGTGGCCCTGCGGGCGATGCCAGGCGGTGCGAACGGGCAGGCGGGCAAGGGTGGCGAGTGAGACAGCAGCCTGGCAGCATCTGGGGGAGCCGGCCGAGAGACTCCGCCTCCCTCCGAGGCAGGGCTGGGCTGGGCTGGCCCGGGCTGTTTGTCGCAGGCAAGTAACTCCAACGGGACGCCGGCCAGGAAGGGGTGGGAGGGGTCACTCCATCCCCCCCCCATCTATGCCATGGCGGGAGGGGGGGGCTAACTTGGCAAGGCTTGAACAGGAGGGGGGAGAATACAGGGGGATTCCCTCTACCCTTCATTGGGGAGGGGGCTGAGGACGGCCCCATCACTTGGGGGCATGATGAACATCCCCGATCCGTCACAGTCCTGAGATTTCCTCGTGGTGTCCCATCCATGCCACGTAGCTTTCCAGATCATTCAGCGCGAGCAGGGGCTGATCAGGGCGCGACGGGAGCCCCCCCCTCCCCAACCATTTGCGCTGTGGACGCTAAGGCAAAGGAAAGGGCGCTTTGCACACGCTCAGAAGCGCTCTTTCAGCGGCGCCCTTGGTTTAGCCGGCCGGATTCCCGGTTGCCGCGGCTCTTCCGGGGGATCTGAAAGAGAAGGGCGGCGGAGACCCCCGACCCCCAAGCACGGGGCGGGGGGGGGGGTAGAAGGGAATCCCGCTCATTTGCATGCGATGACGCAAGCCCCGCCAGGCCACGCCCTCCACGCAGCAGGGAGATCTCCTCCAGCCCCCCCCCCGCCGTCCTTTCCCCTCTTCTTCCCACCTGGAGACCCCGCAGGAGGTGAGCAGCCTCCGCGGACTCCCCCTGCCGCCCCTGCCGGCCGCTTTCGGGCTCCGAAAGGCGGAGAGAAGCGATGCAAGGGAAAAACCTGGCCAGCGAACTCGGAAGTCCGGGAAGCGGCGCGCTCCTCTTCCCTTTCGTCGCTCTGCCAGCTCTCCGGCCACGTTTCACTTTCGGTTTCGCCCGGGCGGTGTCCGCGGAGCCTCCGCTGCTCTTCTGGCAAGTGCGGAGCCGGCAGCGGGCGGGGCGGGGCGGGCGCTGCTCCCGGGGTGGGGGACGGCCTGGAGGGAGGGGGAGGCTTCCGGGGGTGGGGGGCAGGAAGACGGCCCTCCTCCACCCCCGGGTGGGTGCCGGGGGGGGGGTCCACGGCCCCAGCTGCACGGCTCCGGGTCTTCCAGATGTCGCTGCCTTAAGAAGAGACTAGAGACAGTCACTTGTCTGAAATGGTGCTTGAGCGGGGGGCTGGACTAGACGACCTCCCAGCTCCCTCCCAGCTCTGTTCTATTCCTTGACTCGTTCCTGCCTGGAGCTGGAGGCTCCATCGAGGACTGCTGGAGCCCTTGCAGGGCTGCCCCGGTTTCCCCCCCCACCCTCCCTTGCTTAATAGTCGGCTCAGGTAGACTACCCTCTGCCAGGGAGGTTCTATCTCTGCGGCCCAGCTCCAAGACCTAGCCTTCCCCTCCCCTCTCTCTCTCTTCTATCTTCTCTCTCTTTTTTTCTCTCTCTTTTTTTCCCTCTCTTTTTTTCCCTCTCTTTTTTTCCTCTCTTCACAGGTGGCGAGCATGGAGAACCTCCCCCAGGACGCCCTGCTTGCGGTGCTGGTTCTCGTGCCCGCCCAAGACCTGGTGCTTCGCTGCCGGCTGGTCTGCTCCCTCTGGCGCGGGCTGGTAGACTTGCCTTCGCTCTGGAGGCTCAAGTGCCAACGGGAGGGCTACCGGCCGGAGCCGCTGGACAGCCACGTCCCGGACTGGCGGGATTTCTACTTTCTCTGCAGCCTGAAGAAGAACTTGATCAAGAACCCCTGTGCTGAAGGTGCGGGGGGGGGGGGGGGTCAAGGGGGCTGGGCTGCCTCTCTTTTGAGGGGGGGGTGTCAGGTTTCGGACCACTCAAAGCTTGTTTTCCCTGCCTCTCCTGACCAACCTGCTCTGATCCTGGATAAAGCGAATCAGGGCCAGGATGGAAGACCACCAGGCGATCCAAACAGAGTTGCCAACGTGGCTGAGCAAATTTAAAAAAAACATCCTGAAATAACACAATGCAACCAGTTCCATAATTCTGCCTCCAAAAATTAGCCTGTTTTAAGGCAGGGGTCTTCAAACTTGGCCCTTTTAGGATTTGTGGACTTCAACTCCCAGAATTCCTCAGCCGGGCACACGCGTGCCTGGCTGAGGAATTCTGGGAATTGAAGTCCACAAGTCCTAAAAGGGCCAAGTTTGAAGACCCCTGATTTACTGTATCAGAGAGTGTGGGATTGCAAAATCCCGGGGTCCTGCTTCCTGCAGGATGATGGTGATGTACGTTGGCCTAAACCAACGGGCCTTGCTTTAGGTTAGGAAACACACGGACAACATGCTTCTTCAGGTGAGATGGCAGGCAAAGACCCTGAAGCCTCTCCGTGCCTCTCTTTTATTGGTACATTAGCATAATCAAGGGGGGGGTGTACAAAAGGACAATANTAAGCTTTTCAGGAGAAATGAAACTTAAGTCAGGAAACGAAACCTAAGGCAGGCAGGTAAGCTTTTCAGGAGAAACGAAACTTAAGTCAGGAACCAAATGGATGCAACAAGAGAGTCCTTATTTCAATGTCTCTGGTGTGAAATTGGAAACCCGTTTGTGTGTCATTACCCAAAAGAAAAAAAATAACTTTTTTTTAAAACCTAATTTGAAGTAACTTAGTCAAGTTTGTCAAGCACGGTGTTAAGCAATCTGGTTAATTAATCCAGCTACCTGGGGGGGGCGAGCTCCAGACAATTCCCCCCTCTGGGAGTTGAAGTCCACAAGTCCTAAAAGGGCCAAGTTTGAAGACCCCTGTCTTAAATTTAACAAACAAAATGGAGGCTAGCTGAGGAATTCTGGGAGTTGAAGTCCACGAGTCCTAAAAGGGCCAAGTTTGAAGACCCCCCTGTTTTAAGGCACATCCTCCTGGTTGTCTCTTCTTCCTTACCTTGAAATGTTTCCAAAGCACCAAAACGCACAACTTCTTTGTGTGTGTTTGTCTCTCTCCTGCCACAGAAGGCTTCGAACCCTGGCAGAAAGAGTCGGATGGAGGCAGTGGCTGGAAAATCGAGCAGCTTCCGGGAGATCATGGGAGAAATTTCCCTCTTCCCCACGTTAAGAAGTACTTCGTGACGTCTTACGGGTCAGCAGCGGGACGGCGGCCAGCTGCGGGATTCCTTGGGGGTTTCTCACATCTGGATCTGACCGTCAAAGGACGGGCTCCTTCCAGGGTGGGAATTTCCAGCCGAGTTTCTCCCACAGGCAACTTGGAAGCTTCAAATCCCCCAGGATCTAAAGTTTATTTTTATTTAATTTATGTACGGGCTGCCCATCTTAGCACAAGGCGGCTTCTATTAATAAAATAGAATTATATAAATTAATATCTACCGTATATGTTAGATTAATATATTATATAGATTAATATCTTCCCCCCCCAGCTTATCCTACTCCAGTGGTGGTGAACCTATGGCACGCGTGCCAGAGGCGGCACCCAGAACCCTCTCTGTGGGCACGCGCGCCATGCCCCGGAGATGACAACCGTCCCTCTTCAACCGAGGTCCTGCGTGGCCGGATGCATCCCAGCACCCATGTGCTTGCTGGCCTCTGTGTGCAGGGGGCGATGTGCCAGGAAGCAGCTGCCCCAGCCCCTGCCTCACCCTGCGACAATGGCACCCCCCCTGCCTCGCCTTGCCTCGTCTCACCCCACAGGACCAGCCTCCTGCCCACCGCCCCACCCGCCAGAGACCCCCTGGATCTCCCCCAACCCTGCGCAGCCCCACAGGCGTCCTTCCCCAGGAGCAACATCGAGCTGGCCACGCCCACCCGTCTGCCATGACCATTGTAGCCATGCCCACCCGGCACCCGGCAATACATAAGTGGGTTTTGGGTTGAAGTTTGGGCACTCAGTCTCTAACAGGTTCGCCATCACTGTCCTACTCCCTCCCTCGCCCTCTTTTAGCTACTGTATTTCACATTTTTATACAACGAGTCCTCCTCTTACAACAGTTCGCTTAGTGACCGTTGGAAATTGCAACGGCACTGAAAAATGCGACTTGTGACCGCTTTTCACACTTACGACCGTTGCAGCATTCCCAGGGTCATGTGATCCAAGTTGGTACGCTTGGCCACGGATTCACAATTATGATGGTCGCAGCGTCCCGGGGATCACGTGATCCCCTTTCGTGACCTTCCGACAAGCAAAGTCAGTGGGGGAGGCCGGTTTCGCTTGACTGTGTCACTAACTGAACGACTGTGGCGATTTGCTTAACGACTGTGGCAAGAACAGTTGTGAAACGGGGCAAAACGCACTGAACAGCCGTCTCGCTTAGCAACATAAATTCTGGGTTCAGTCGTACTTTTATACAGGGAGTCCTCGACTTAAACGACCACCAGTGAGCCCAGAATTTATGTCGCTAAGTGAGAAATTCGTGAAGTGGGTTTTGCCCCATTTTACCACTATTCTTGCCACAGTCGTTAAATGAATCGTTCAGTTAGTAACACGGTCGTTAAGCGAGTCTGGCTTTCCCCAGTGACTTTGCCTGTCAGAAGGTCGCAAAAGGGGATCGTGTGATCCCAGGGACGCTGCGACCGTTGTAATTGTGAACCTGTTGCCAAGCATCTGAACTTGGATCACATGATCATGGGGATGCTGCAACGGTTGTAAGTTCAGTGTTGTAAGTTCAGTGTTGTAAATTTTTAGAGGGGTTTTAATTCATATTTTAATTAGACAATATTTAAATATTTCTTTTTAACTAATTTTAAATTTTGTAATTGTTTTTGGTGTATTTTTAAAATGATTGTCAGCCGCCCTGAGTCCGCAAGGAGAAGGGCGGGATATAAATTCAAAAAAACAAACAAACAAACAAACAGTCGCTAAATGAACTGTTGTAAATTGAGGACTAGCTGCATAAAAATACAAAATAACAATAGCTAAAAGATGGGGAGGGAGGGAGGAGGTGGAGCAGGGGTGGAGGTGGGATCCGATATTAATCTATCAAGCACCACCCTCCTTTCAGCCATCGCTGTTCAAAACAGTGCAGACTTTCCCAGGAGGGGCTATCCCAGTGCTTTTGAGTAGGGGTCCCTACCTTGCTCAAAAAGCACTTGCAAAGTGGACTTCCTTGTTTTTTTCTTTGAAGACATTTTGCTTATCATCCAAGAAGCTTCTTCAGCTCTGACTGGATGGTGGGGAAGGGAAGGATTCATACTCCTTGCAGACCGCTGGTCATTTGCATCCTTTTGCAGAGTGGTTGAGGCCATTTACCTGTATCCTCAGGGTCACCTGAGTGGTGCAAATAGATGTGGAACTTTCTTGGAACTGCTGAAAGGAAGAAGGCTCCACACACATTTGCACCACTTAGGTGACCCTGAGGACACAGATAAACCTCCAGGTGGCCTCAAGGACTCTCTAAAAGAATGCAAATGACCAGCTGTCTGCAAGGAGTATAAATCCTTCCGTTCCCCCCACCATCCAGTCAGAGCTGAAGAAGATTCTTGGAGGAGAAGGGAAACCTCTTCAAAGAAAAACAGGAAAGTCCAGTTGCCTCCTGAAAAAAAAGCACCTTTGGGACAACCAGGACCTGGATGATGGAGAATCTCCCTAGACATTTACTTGAAAAGCCATTTAACAATGATTCGTGGCTTGCGTTCCGCATGGAGGCCCGAAACAACCTGTGGTTTTCTCTTCCCGGCCAGATCATGCATGAAGAGGCAGCTGATCACCCTACGGGATGACGGCTACTGCGACCAGTTGATGGACGACATCCGGCCTGATATTGTGGTGAGCGACTGGTGAGTGGCAGGCAGGAGAGGCGGACGGATGCACGAGCACAAAAACACAGTTCGGCAGCGCTAAGAACGGCTCCATCCAAGCGGGAGGCAGAATACAGCACCCTTTTCGCTCTCCTTGCTTTCGCACAGAAGGAATATAGCTACTCCTAACGGTTCATTTAGTGACCGTTCAAAGTTACAACGGCACTGAAAAACAGTGACCGTTTTTCACACGTCCGTCCCAACGGTCACATGAGCAAAATTCGGATGCTTGGCATCTGGCTCGTATTTATGACGGTCGCAACGCCCCGCGTTCACAGGATCCCCTTTTGCGACCTTCTGACAAGTCAAGGGGGGATCTTTATTATTATTTTTATTATTGTTATTATTATTTTTTTTTCCAATATAAATTTTTTATTATTTTCATCATAAAAAAAACATCACAGGTATTTCACAATGCTATATGAAAAACCCCCCACCCCCCACCCGCCCACCCCCCGGACTTCCCAAACCTAATCCCAGGATAATATTCAGATATAGGTAAACTAATATTAGTATCCCTAACTCCACAAAGTATATTATTCTACATGAGTAGGTAAAATATATAGAAAAAAAAACAAGTTAACTAGAAACCTAAATTATATTCCACCACTCTGTACTTCTTTTGAATATAAACAATCCATCTTCTCCATATTAGTAAAAATTGTTCATTTGACTGATTCTTCAAATAAGCCGAAATCTTTGCCATTTCAGCAAGATACGAAACTTTCAATCTCCAATCTTCCATTGTAGGTAAAGTTTTACTCTTCCAATTTTGAGCTATCAACAAACGGGCAGCAGTTAAGCAATACAACATCAAGTTCGTTTCTTTTACATCCAGATTTTGTGTAATACCTAGGAGAAACAACTGAGGCA